GTATCGGTTTGAAAAAATTGGCATCGTTGCATCCCTAACAGAAACACCTCTTTGTTTACGTCGCAGTAATTAAAAGATGGATGTAGCATCACGATGTCACCCACTGGTTTGTGAAGTGCTGCTTTTCAAGCTTCGAGCTGAGTGATTTTAACGCAGCCATCGGGTGAAAAAGTGGTTAGCCTTACATTTTGCTCATAAAACTTCAGCCTTCTGCTAATTCTCTTACTCTTACTCTTCAAATTGAACTTTATTTAATGTTTCAACTCATTTTGTCAAGAAGATAACTGAAGTTGCCAAACGTAAGTCTACCTCACAAAATTTACTATCTTGGGCTCTTTGGGGCCTCATTCATCCCTGGACTGCCTCATGAGCGCCCCCTAAGGATCTGGAAGTCCACAGAGCGAGAGCTTCACGTTCTCTGCTATCGTTTTCGTTTCCTGGAACTTGTTAGCTCCGTCTTCCTAATGATATCACATATTTTTTTATTGTGCTCTTACCCTCATACTTCCCAGTTACCCTCAGTTTAGTTCTCAGTCAGCTCAATTTCTAGCCCAACTCGACTTCTGAGTTTTTGGATAGTTCAGGGGTTAACTGTGTGCACGCGTGCACATGTGTGTAATCTTACCAGATTTTTTAGCCTGATTGTACCCGCTCCTTGTCCCCTGTGTGCCTTCCCTTTAGTTTTTATGTGCATGAACACATAAAGCTGTGGAGGGATTTTTTTTTATTTCACCACAGCTTCTTGCATTTGTGTCGTCCTCTCTGTACTGACTCGTTACATGGTAAACACACAAAAATATCTCACAGTCATGAAAACAGGAAACATGCTAATTAGATTTTATCCATTGCTTCCTATTTCACACCATTTTTTTCTGCATTTGCTGCAAACGGTTGTTGTTGCAGGATATTTAAAGTTTCATCACCTTCTTTTAACCCGAGAGACCTGCGCACAGATGCAACACCCCTCATGCAGGACCCTGCTTGGAGAAGCACCGATCTAAAGCGAGCCGCCATCATCAGAAGCTACTATTTAGATTTAAAAGAAAACAAAGCAGCTTAGCACGTGTTAGTCGTTAAACGGTTAATCAAAACAGCAAACCTGAAAGACAGACAACATCTGTCTTGCCATCGTATAACGATACCATCTTCATCTTTTGACATTTATTCCCCCTCCTTCCTCAGCTCAGCGGCCTGCCCACACTCTCGTTTCAGCACCCACATGTGACAGACTCAGCAGAGGCCAGTTAACCTCAACTAACTGCCTCAACCTCAACTGAGCCTTAGGAGCAGGACTGACGGGGTTACTGATCAAAATAAGAATATTAGACTCCTTTAAGAGTTCAGGTGCTCAAGTGATCAAAAATGTCACATTCTCAGTTTTACTTCAAATGTCTGAACGGTTTCATAATAAGGTCCAAAATCCAAATATGTGCAATAAACCCCAGAACTTGTGACTTCTGGTTGTTGTTTTGAGTCAGTATGTGTGTATTTATGGCTCCTCTCTCCTCTTTATCATTGCTGCATCATCTGGTTTGCTCCTGTTAGGACGCCTTCATCAAACCCTGCATGTTCTTCGTGTCCTCTGACCGTTCTTCAAATTATTTTTAGATATTCTTAGATTTGTTGAATGTGCTGCCTCACGCTTACTAATTAGAAAATCAATTTCATGTGCTATGTTTCAAAATGTTATGTCATTTCAACAAAGTTCCAGGTGTACTAGCATAAACACAGACTATCACTGGGCTTCATCACAAAGATGCATCAACATATCCTGACATTTACCTGCTGATTACGCTCCACACTTTGATTTTCTCTGATTGGTTCAGCAGATATCTTCAAATCCAAGGAAAAACTTTCCCAGGTGGCTATGAGAAGCCAAACCTGACACATTAACTTATTATTACTCTTTAGATAAATCCCATTAGCCATTTGACAATTCAAGACCCAGTCGGACTCTGGCACGTAATTTTAAGATATAAACTCCTGAGCGTAGATACTGATTTTGATTTGAAATAAAAGTTTCAAATGTGGATTATGTGGATCAGCTGGAGGTCCAGATGCATCTCTAAGGGTTTGTTGGACTTTTATTTCCTATTTCTTAAGAACATGACTTTGAGATCCTGTTCATCTGCTCTCGATAGTTTGTTAGACCCAGCACTTCTTCTTTTGCCTTCCACTTTCCTCATTTTTTGGACCGACCCCACACTGTGCAAATATTTTGGGCTCTTAGCTCTTTGGGAATCACCTTATTGTGCAAATTGACTATTTTATGTCTGTCAAACTAACATTTTGACCTTCGGAAAGCCTTGTAGAACCAGTTTAAAGTGTGGCGTTGAGAAAAAGGAAATGAGGGGTGGCTCATGACTTTTGCACAGTGATCGTAAGGTTTGGTGAATCTTAATGTCAAATCCCACACGTCTGAGCGAGCAGTCGTGAAGCTGAAGAGTCTGAAATCACTGTGAAGCGTCTTTGCACCGTGCACGCGTGTTTGTTAGGTACTTGTGTAGCAGCAGAGGCAGATTGTTGTTTCAGAGGGCGAGCAGCTGCTACGCTTTACGTGCGACTGTACAACGTTTTCATCGCTTGTCCCACGTGGAGATCAGCTCGTGTTTAGAGAAGTCAACAGGCGC